ACAAGCATATGCTCTGGCGCTATGGGGTAGTACTCCAGGTCCACTTCAAGCCCTCTGGCTGGAAGGTCGAATACAACTTCTAAGAGCTTTTCACAGTATTCCACCCAGTGAAATCCACCAGCAGGCAGTGGTTGGCTCATTGACCATCCATACAGATTATTGGTATCTAGGTAGAGTACATAGATGTTTGGATTGGAAGAGTCCTTGTCTATGATTTCAGGGTTTTTATCCTTATCATGGTGCTTCAAGACTATGGAGATACCACCATAAATGCCCTCTTTGATAAGGAGACTCAGGTCCAGGTCATAATGCTTTATACATGTCTTATGGAGGAGAACACCTGTACGATTGTAGAGGTCATGGTAGCCTTCCAGGCTTTGGATTACAAAAGTATCCTAGACTTCCTTCGCATGCAAACTTACCTGACCAATCTTCGATAAGCATTAGATTGATCCCTGAGAGGTCGCCTGACTGCTGGCTCAGTCTGTGGCCTATAACCCCCTTGTCCTAGCTAAAGACGTTCATAACGAGTTTTTTTGTAAATGTATGATCGACTTATAATGAGCCATGTCAAGATTTTTCCATTTACAACCCCACAAGATCCTTTTTCTGTCCATTTCTAAAGGTGCTCCTGGAGATATGGGATCTCCGTTTTAACGCCTAATTTATCTCACTGGCCTGCATAACAGTTTCCTGATTGTAATACTAAAACTGGACACTGTGCTATTTGACACTTTCCAAGAACGTTTTGGGGTATATCTAGCTACCACCATTGCAAGTACTTTCCTATTACCCACGGTGTCTGCCTGGAAACAATTGCTTGTCAGTCATCTCAACCATCAGTCTTAAAACGAATATATAACAGCTCTAAACAGGCCTGCTAATTAAATTATTTCCTTTCTCTGTACGAATCATAAATTCCCATTGACAGGATGGGAGCAACACACATGCATTTAGCGATAGATATATAGGAATGACACACAATCTCCGATCTAGCCTTTTTTGTCTTGTTATGGTGGGGCTAAACTGCATTACACGCCAATAATAACATATACATCGGACATGAATGGCCGATGACATATTTTCTATATAATTACCCCAGACCATTCGTCCCGGTGTTATCGCTATCGCCACACGAGACTCCAGCTTGTCTCCTATACAATTTGACTGCGCACATCCAGAAAGTAGATGTAGCTGTGATTGGTGGAATACTAATGAGTTGAGTGTCAATCAAACGCCCACGCTATCTTTAGTAAACAAAGTCACGTGACACGCGCCATTTTAGTTTTGGCAGGCGATTTCAAGGCAGCACGCTTAACACTTTCGTTCACAGGTTGGGAGATATTAGAATGACTGACAATTTCACGCCACTGTTTTACATTATTGGCGGATTTTTCTGCGCTATCAATCTTTCTCTTACAAACTAGACTTAGATGAGACGACAGAGTCGCTCCTTTCACAACGTCGCACTGGATCAAATTGGAAAGACGATTTCCATAAGTTATCCCTCCTGCTTTTCCTGGCTTGAATAAATTCACACACGACTTTAACTGTCCACAAACTCGAAGACTACACGAACACAGTCTAC